ACCTCCCTGGTGGTCTGGTAGTTAAGAATCCGCCTGCCAATGCAGGGGATGTGGATTCTGGCTCTAGTTGGGGAATTAAGATCCCACATGGCTCGGGGCAGCTAAGCCTGAGTGTTGCAACTACTGAGCCCACGTGCTGCAAGGAAAGATCTGTATGATGCAGTGAACACCCCACATGCTGCAACTAAGACCAAAACAGCCAAATACATACATACGTAAATAAATAAACTCAAAAAAATATAAAAAGAGAAGAATCTCACTGACCTGAGTTAAAAACTAGTTGATATAAGGAATATTTGATAGATTTATCTTTTACGAACTGAAATTATATATGAAGGTATAAAATTACACATTATAAACAGTATAAAACCGTACAGTTCAGAGTTCATGCCTTTTCTTAAAACCACTTTCAACTCCCTTAATTGCCCTGCCTTTCCTGTAAACAGCCCCTCTGTATTCAGCCTCACAAGTTATTAAAGCAAGATGTGTTTTTTTATATAAAACTAACAAAAAAATCAGTGTGGGTGAGATTATATGGCAAATTTGTTTCACTCACGCATTGCTGTCATATTCTATAATATATTCATGCTTGCTTTATATCAAATTGACACTTCCAAACACTTATCAAGGAAAACTGATGTTCTTCACTTCTCCATGTACCACCTGGTAGGGACACCCTAACTGAGAAGGCATTTGACTGTGTGGCATTAGAATAGTCATTATGCAGAACTGATTACAAGATCAAATATAGCAAGTTTTGCCACATTTAAGGAGCTGGAAAATTGTCTTACTCTTTGATTCAGTAATCTCACACTTAAAAGTGGGGGAGGTTTGGGGGAATAGCCCAATAAAAGCAATAGTAGTGCCTTGGCAGTCACTTTTGGAAACAGGGTCATTGCAAATGTAGTTTTTTAATTAGGATGAGGTCATAATGCAGTAGGGTGAACTCTTCATCAAATATGACTGATTTCCTCATGAGAAGACAGACACAGGGACACCACCATCTGAAGAAGGAGGATAGGAGTGATGTGTCTATAAGCCAGGGGATGCCAGAGATTGCTGCAAACCCCCAGATCCCTGGGTTGGGAAGGTCCCCTGGAGAAGGGAATGGCTACCCACTCCAGTATTCTGGCCTGGAAAATTCCATGCACAGAGGATCCTGGTGGTCTACAATCCATGGGGTTGGAAAGAGTTGACCATGACCAAGTGACTAATACACACTACAAAACTAGGGATAGATGAGGGCAGATTCTCTTATGGTTCCAGAGGGAGCATGACCCTACCAACACCATAATTTTGGACTTCTAGCCTCCAGAACTGGGAGACAATAAATTGCTGTTCTTTTAGCCACCCAGTTTGTGATACTTTGTTATGGCAATCCGTAGAAACTAGGGAGCCGTGACTAGGCAATGGGGAAAGAAGAGTCTTTTTTAACAAAGGATACTGAGAAAACTGGACATCGACATGCAAAAGAATGAAGTAAGACCCTTACCATATACCAAATATAAAAATTAAGTCAGGGGACTTCCCTGGTGGTCCTGTGGTTGGAACTTTGCACTCCCACTCTGGGGGGCACAAATTCAGTCTCTGGTTTGGAACTGGAATCCCGCATGCCATGCAGCCAAAAAATTTTAAAAGATAAAAACTTATTAAAGAAAAGGTAATTAAAAATGGATCAACGAATAAATTTAAAATACAAATCTAGAAAACTCTTACAAGAAAATGTAGAGGAAATCTTCACCACTGTGGATTTATTATGATTTCTGAAATGACATCCAAAGTGCAGCTAACAAATGAAAAAAATAGATAAGTTGAACTTCATGAAAATTTAAAACTTCTGTACATCAAAGAATGCTATTAAGATGTTTTTATCTATTTATGATGAGTAATTTTAAAAAATTTTCTTAACTATTAGAATTCTCCAAAATAGAAACAGAATTACCCTAATTTAATCCAAAATAATAAGAAATAAAGTTGTGTTGAAATTATTTTGGCATAATGTATAATTTGCAATTTAAAAATGTGTCTGAAAAAGTTTATAGCCATTGATATCTTAAATTTGATTTCTGAAAACTGACTGAAGCATGTAATATGGAAGATGTGTGCCTTGCTGTGTTTGGCTTCTAATTTCATTTAAGACTGAGGACTAAAACAAATGGAGAATCACTTTTCTGATTGGTAGTAGTAATAATGGTGACCATCTCTGGTGATCCCCATTAATAATGGTGATCATTCAAGGAAAAAGAAGTACTCTGTTCATGATGTAGGTGAATGCTGTCATCCATTAATAAAAGTGAAAACCAGAAAAAAAAAAAGGACATTTTGAGTGAAAACTCACAAAATGGTAGAAAATATTGCAAATTGTACATTTGATAAAGGATTAATATCAAGAATATATAAATAACTCCTATACCTCAACCATACCACCAAAACCTAGACCCAGTTATGAATTTATGAATGGTCAAAGGCTTGAATAATATTCAAATGGTCAATAAGCACATGAAAAATTCTTGTTGGGGAAATGCAAATCAAAACCACAATGAGGTACCACTTCACACCTCCCAGGATGGCTTTAAGTTTTTAAATGTAAAATAACAAGTGTTGGTAAGAATATGGAAAAATTGGAACTCTTAAATACTGGTTGTTGAAATGTCAAATGGTGCAGCCACTGTGGAAAACTGTCCGGCAGTTCCTCAGAAACTAAACGTAGAATTACTATATGACCCAGCAATTCTAATCCTCGATATATACACAAAGGAATTGAAAACAGGGACTCAAACAGATACTTTACAGCAGTGTTTATAGCAGCATTATTCACAGTAGCAAGAAGGTGGAAACAGCCCAAGTGTTTGGAGATAGTGGCTATGTTAACACAACATTAATGCCATTGTATTGTGCACTTAAAAATGGTTAAAATGGTAAACTTTATGTTATGTATATTTTACCACAATTAAAAAAAGAATTGATAGAGAGCATGTGAAGGCAAGTTGTTAAAGTGATTTGTTGTTGTTCAGCGGCTAAGTTGTGTCTAACTCTTTTCTTTCCAACTCTCTGTGACCCTATGGACTGTAGCCACCAGGCTTCTCTGTCCATGGAATTTTCCAGGCAAGAGTACTGGAGTGGGTCGCCATTTCCTCCTCTAGGGATCTTCCCGACCCAGGGATCGAACTGCATCTCCTGTGTCTCCTGCATTGGCAGGTGGTTTCTTTACCAGCTGAGTCACCTGGGAAGCCCCCATTAAAGTGGAAGAACATGTAAATAAGCCTAGTAGGAAAGTAAACCTAGGTGCGGTTCTCAGGAAGAAAAGGGAATGTTTGAGGGATTAAAGGAACAGAAGGTATTTAGGGGGTAAGATTAAGAGAACTGAAATAATATTGAGTTGGCCAAAAAGTTCATTCAGGTTTTTCCATAAAGTGGTACAGAAAAACCCAAACAAACATTTTGGCCAATCCAGTAGCAAGACGTGCCTACTGATATATTACAAAGTTAAGTTTTGTGTTTTTTTTGGTTGTTGTTGTTAATTTACCTTATTTATTTTTTTAACAAGTTGGAATTGCAATGTATGTAAAGTTTTTAATCCTGATTTTTTCCTTTAATATTATACTGTGAGAATTTTCCTCTCATTAAGCTACTTTGTATTTTCAATTGAAGTATACTTGATTTACAATGTTTCAGGTTTACAACAAAGTGATAGAATACCAGTGGTAGAATGTTTCCAGGTGGTAAAGTTGAGGATGTGACCCTGGGTGAGGACTGCTAAAGAAGCGTTGGAAATGACAGTCTTGGGAATTGAACGTAGTCTGGTGACCCAGACGGTAAAGAGTTTGCCTGCAGTCGGGAGACGTGGGTTCAATCCCTGGGTCAGGAAGATCCCCTGGAGAAGCAAATGGTAACCTACTCCAATATTCTTGCCTGGAGAGTTCGATGGACAGAAGAGCCTGATGGGCTATAGTCCATGGGGTCGCAAAGAGTTGGACTTGACTGAGGGACTAACACTGACTTTTCACTTTCATGGTCACATAGGGGTAATGTTTCCTCCCGGAGAAAAGACAGCAGGCCAGCCAGGGCTGGATGCTGGAGCTGAGTGGATGACAGTGATTGATTTGCAGGAGCCTCAAAGGAAAAACTATTTATTTCTACTATATTTCTTAGAGCTATACTTTTATTATAGTGTTGACTCAGTTTGTTGGATTTATTTTTTTTGGACAAATTTTGGGAAGCCTGGTAGGTTGCCAGTGACTAACCAGTCCTAAAGTTGAGAAGCGTAAAGTAGGGTAAAGCTACATTTCAGCACTCCTGTTCAGTTCAGTTCAGTCACTCAGTTGTGTCCGACTCTTTGCAACCCCATGAACTGCAGCACACCAGGCCTCCCTGTCCATCACCAACTCCCAGAGTCTACCCAAACCCATGTCCATTGAGTCAGTGATGCCATCCAACCATCTCATCCTCTCTCGTCCCCTTCTCCGCCTGCCCTCAATCTTTCCCAGCATCAGGGTCTTTTCCAATGAGTCAGCTCTTCACATCAGGTGGCCAAAGTATTGGAGTTTCAGCTTCAACATCAGTCCTTCCAGTGAACACCCAGGACTGATCTCCTGTAGGTACAGTTTTTATCTGATTGTGTACATCAAGATAAGTACAATGAAAGGAAAAAGCATTGGCTTCTTTTTCTTGCTTTTAAAGTTGTATCAGCATCTTTAAAGATGTTTCATCAGTTTTGCTTTGTTTTTGGAAGTGCCCACATTGTTGTGCTTCAAAAAGGATAGCTTTTTGGATAGAATCTGATTGAAAATTTTTTGCTTTATATCACATAATTGTTACAAAGTGTGCTCAATTTGTCAAATCAAAAAGAAGAGACATTCAGAGAGCCCCACCTAGTTAAATCATATGTTGAAATTACAGTTTGGCCTCTAAATTTGTTTTCTCTTGTGGCGGCAGATCTTTTATATAATGTAGTCACTGATTTATAATGAGTCTCAAAATACTGTTTCCATCTTTCTTAGGAAAACAGGAAAGCATTTCCACAACTTCATTAGTTGGCAAGACCTAAGAGCTATTGAACTTGTAAAATCTTGGAATAATTCTCTTTTAATGAAGGTAATCTTTTCCTTATGTTCTATGATTTGGATGTTACTGTTTTTCCTGTGTATATTCTTTAGCTGTATGCTGAATTGTATAATCTACTGATGATGTTTTAGGACATTAAGAAGAGAATACACACATGCACACTCCCATACTAGTGAAATTTAATAGAAGTTACCCAGAAGTACGTGTGGTGGGTTGAAGTGCTTAACAGCTGCTCTTCATGAAGTCCTGAGGAGGTTTGGGGTGGGCCAGAGGTTCACAAGTTATTGAGAATTCATTTTTATTCCTGGAGAAATAGAAAAAATACAGACTGTGTCCAGAAATAGGTACAGACCATGTCCAGATTTTATCATCTGGACATAGTTATAAAAGTGGAGAATGGATATTGAGGTAGATAACTAGCTGACTGCCTGACTGCTGCAATCTTTCAGCATGACGCCTGGCATGTGGCAAGGCAGTGACAACGCTGGTCATGACAGTGGCAGCAGTTGTGATATATCCCTCAGAAGTGTGGGATTTCTGAGTTAAAGACGAAGGCAGTTTTCCAGCTCCTCAAACGTGGTGATACCTGCAACATTTGGTCTTATAACCAAGACCAAATATTATTATGTTATATTATACCAAATATTAAGTATAAGACTAAGTATGCAATATTGATTATTTTAATGCTTCTAATACCACACAGTTAAATGCTTTCTCAGCTAGGCTGCCCTTACCAGGTGATGTATAGGGGAGTGTCTGGAACATCAGGTTTCCTTTATAGGTGTTTGAAGACATGAATTTTATATGAAAAGCAAGTCCAAATATTGGGTTGGCCAAAAAGTTTGTTTGGCTTCTTCATAACATCATGTGGGAAAACCAAACCAACTTTTTGGCCAACCCAACATATTATAAATATGGCAGTAATACATGAATGAAGCATATCTGCCATAATCTCAGCCACACTGGTTTTTTTTTTTTTTTAGTTTAATATATAAAAAGGTATTTGCCCTTAATAGCTTGTGAAGCTGAATATCAGAGATGCTATTTACAGAAAGACAGAGCAAGGGTGTTGAAAGTGGTTAGAAGAAAATGTTGTGAACTTTGGTATAATTTGAAATTGTACTGTTTATAATGTGCAATGTTATATTTTAACATATAATTTTAGTTTTTAATCAGTAAATTCATTAGACATTCCTTAAGTTGGTCACTGAAGTGTTTAAAATGTTTATGCCTTTGAAAATAAATTGTGAAAACTTTTATTTCTGTAGAATAAGCCCCAAATCTCAAGTCATGACATAAAATTGGCATCAAGCACAAAACTGAACATTTAAAGGACTTTAGCTACTTGATATTGAACATGTCTATGATGTAACTTTCAGCCTCTCCTAGCAGAGAAATGCATACAAACAGATTCTTAAGAGTTTAGCACACAAAATTGCAGAGCTGGTCCTGCTGAAGGAACCCTACCCTGTAATTGTCCTTTTCCAGATGCTTCTGGTGACAACAGTGATGGAAGTTCTTGGAAATGTTTAGGGAGAATATGCCAGAGCTGGCACCAAGGTCATGAGTTTAGCCACCACTGCCCCCAGGCAAAGTGATGAAGTCATTGAGGCATGGTGGCCATCTCCTGGCACCATTTTCCTCCAGACACCCATGCTTCTTCTCACTGTTGTCCTGATTCTTGCCTAATGGCTGCTAAGGCTTTTCTTTGCTTTTAGCGTAAAATCCTAACTTCTTATCATAGTTTGACCCTGACCTCTTTCCAGACCCCGCTCTCCCTGAAGCTGCTAAGGGTTAGGCTCCAGCTTTGCCGTCCCTCGAGCCTTGTCTTACCCTAAAGCCCTCATACCTGCAAAAGACTCCCTCCACCATCACGGCGACTCCTCTCATCCTTGAGGGCTCGGCTCACCGTCCCCTCCTCTGTGGGAGCCCTTCTCTGCCATCTTATTTATAGCAGCATCCCCCGCCTCCAGTCCAATGTTTATTACTGTACTTTCTTTCACAATAGTCATCAAACTTCAAAGATCTAACACACATTTCTTAATTGAAGTCTTAATTGAGACAATTGTAGATTCACATGCAGTTGTAAGGAATAATACAGAGATCCCTTATATGTTTTACAGTTTCTCTTAAGTGGTAACATTTCACAAAACTATAGCATAATATTAAACTAGAATATTGACATTAATATATTCCATAGATCTTATTCAGATTTCCCCAGTTTTACTTGTACTCGTTTCTGTTTATAGGTGTATGTGTTTTAGTTTCCATAGTTTTTTCTGTATCTTCATTTACCTGACACCACAGTCAAGGCACTGAATACTTTCATCACTACAAGGATCCCTCATGCTGCTTTTTTATAACCACATCTTCCTCTCTCTTGCGTTCTTCCCCACCCTCTCCTGTCCCTAGCTCATTGCAACCACTAATCTGTCCTTCATTACAAATTTTTCTTGTTTCAAAAATGTGAGAGGTGGCATCATGCCGTATAACCTTTTTTAATCTGGGTCATTTTTTGCTTAGTATGATTCCCTGGAGAACACAAGTTGTCACATGTATCAGTAGCTCCTTTCTGCTTTATTGCCGAGTTTTATTCATGTGCCACCTGTTGAGGGACATCTGTGCTAGATTCAGTTTGGGGCTGTTACTGATAAAGCTGTTATGAATATTTGCTTATGGGGTTTTCTGCGAGCATAAGTTTTCGTTTCTCTAAGTATCCCAAGAGGATGACTGCTAGAATATAGGGTAATTGTGTGTTTTGTTTATAAGAAAATAAGTGCTGTACTTTTTTTCAGAGTGGTTGTACCATTTACATTTCCACCAGCAGTGTATGAGTTATAAGATGTGTATTCTTTCTAATTTTGGTTTTTTTTTTTCTTTTTTTTTTTTGTTAATTTGAGGCTAATTACTTTACATCTCTTTCTAATTTTGAAAAGAAGACTTTTAAAGTGAAAGTTGCCCAGTCATGTCTGACTCTTTGCTACCCCACGGACTATACAGTCCATGAAATTCTCCAGACCAGAATACTGGAGTGAGTAGCCTTTCCCTTCTCCAGGGGATCTTCCCAACCCAGGGATCAAATCCAGGTCTCCCACATTGCGGGTGGATTCTTTACCAGCTGAACCTCAAGGGAAGCCCAAGAATACTGGAGTGGGTAGCCTATCTCTTCTTCAGAGGATCTTCCCAACCCAGGAATTAAACTGGGGTCTCCTGAATTGCAGGCGGATTCTTTACCAACTGAGCTATCAGGGAAGCCTGATGATTTTTAAACAGGATGCATTTTTAATCATCAGGGATTTTTTTTGTCATTTTAACTGTGAATTATATCTTAGCATTATGTCATAATGTAACTTACAGCATGTTTTCTTATTTAGTAGTACATTAAATAGGGGCTCATTTTAGAACCATTGTATTCTTGGATGATCTCATTTATTGATTTGATTTACCTGTCTTACCTGTCTTATTTACCTGTCTCTTCCTGCTAGAATGTAAATTTCAAGAAGACGGGGATTCTGCCTGTTGTTTGGTCTATTTTCTCAGGGCCTTAGCACTGTTCTTGGGACTTGGAAGGCACTCAATAAATAGTTGTTAAGTATATGAACAAAGGAAATAGCAACCCACTCTAGTACTCTTGCCTGGAAAATCCCATGGACAGAGGAGCCTGGTAGGCTACAGTCCATGGGATCGGAAAGAGTCGGACACGACGGAGCAACTTCACTTTCACTTTTATATGAACAAAAGTGTTCATTGTTTGTATGTTGAGTAAAAGTGCAGGTGTTAGAAGTCTTAATATTTTTGGTGTGCCTCCACCAAAGTATCTACATTTTAACAGAAGATCCCTGAAGGATCCCAAATCTAAGTTTTTATAGAGAAAAATCTAGTTGTTTGTAGAGGAAGAACTTACTTCAGTTTGAAGCATTTCTTAACATATAACACATCAGAAAGAGGATTATTAAATACTTTAAAAAAACTCTTTAATAAGTAATGTAAAGTGCAGAAGGTCAGAGTGTGGAAGGTTGGAGTACTGAACAGGGTGAAAAGGAGGGTACAACTTCTAGTTATAAGATGAATAAGGTCTGGGAATCTAACGTGTAATGTGATGACTATAGTTAATAATTCTATATTGTATAACTGAAATTTGCTAAGGGAGTAGAACTTAAATGCTCTCATCAAAAAGCAAGAAAAGGTGAAAAAAATTGAAGTCTATTTGTTCAAAAAAATGAAGAACAAAACTGTAATGAGAGAACTGAGTCTACATGTTTATTGATTAATGTCTTATGCTAAAAATGAAAGAAAAATAAATTTGTATTTCTATTTTAAATAAACCAAAATCTTTCAATGTCTTTTGGGGAGGAGCAGGAGTAACAGAGGAAAATATGCAAGTAGATAAATTCTCTATAATTGAGTTTTTTGTAAAACATCAGTTTCAGAAGTTGAGTCATCCATCTGCATCCTTGTCATTAGGTAGCAGGATACGTGTTTATTTTGTTGTTTTGAGGCGTTTTTTTAGTATGTCTTACAAACCTTAAAACTCGATGCTAGTTTTTTGTATAAGGCTTTTTTTTTCCAATTAAAAATTTTGCATACTAAGAAGTAAACGTAAAACTGTATATTTCATCTTCAATCATTAGAGAAACATAAATAGTATATTTAAATAAAATAATCCATCCCAAATTTTAAACACAATGTGTAGGGAAACTTCCCTTCTGGGTTAATACTAAGTTGATTAAAAATATATTTCTAATAGAAAAATAGCCTTTTCCCTTGGCTCTCTTGCTTTACTTCCATAGTTAAAAAATAGGTAAAGAGGTAAAAAATAACTATTTTTTAAACTATTTTTTAAAAGGTTTTTGTAAGTACTTGAGCCTCTAATGTTCTAAAGATATTCATGGTGTGTCACGTTTCGTATTTTAGACTGCAAATTGTCCTCTTAGGGTGCTTTGCTTGATTTCCTTTGTGCTGAGGACACTATAGAAAGAGTTAAAGAAGTTGTTTGCTGTTGAGTTTGTTTGCATGTGTATAGAATTGATGTAGAAACATCAAACACCACTAAACACATTTTTCTAAAATATCTTTTTTTAAAAAAATAGCTCATACACAGTTCCTGCCGAGTACTGCACTTTTTCACTAGAAGTAAACAATTTCTAGCAGCCAGTTTGTTCACTTTCACAACTCAGCAAGTTTCTTTGAGATTGGCCTGGATTTTGCAGAACCTGACTGAGGTAAGGAAAGAGAGAGAGTGTGTGTGTGTGTGTGTGTGTGTGTGTGTGTGTTTGAGGGATGAAAAAAATTGAAAGAATAAGGATATTAATTTGATTTGAGGGAAAATTGTGTCTACCACATTGGGATGGAAGACAACGAATCTTTACTCAATATTTCTTTAAACCATTTTTATGGTGAATCATGTCACATATAGAAAAGTAAATGAACTAAAATGTACCTACCATTCAGTGATATTTTGTGGCACAAACATCTGTTTAACACTACTTAAATCAAGAAATGGAACACTGTGGCACTGTGTGTTACATTTTCTTTCCATTTTTGTAATTTACATGTTTATTCCTCGGCCCTACACTTAGCTTCTTTGCTGGAATATTTTCGAACTTAGTAAATGGATTCATACAGTGTTTATTCTTTTGTGTCTGACTCCTTTTGCTTAGCGTTATATTTGTGAAATATACCCACATTGTGTGTAAATTAATTTTCTTATATTCTCATTGCTATTTAGTATTCAGCATATGATTTTACCATGGTGTATGCATCCATTCTGTTCATGTACATTTGTGTTATTTCCAGTCTGGGTCCATTATGAATAATGCTGTGTATTTCTATTGCTGTAAATGTATTTCTATTGTATCTATACATGGGAATGGAATTTTTTAGGGCATAAAGGTGTATATATATTTTCACCTTTAGTGGATAATATTAAACGTTTTTCCACTTTTTGTCAGTTTACACACCCCTCAGCAGTGAATGAGAGAGGTTATAATTTCATTTACCATCATAATTGATATTTTCAGTCTAATTTTAGCCATTTTGGTGGGTGGGGTGGTGATATTTCATTGTGGTTTTAGACTAGATTAAAAAAATGAAATCAAACTGTGTGCTATATTACAGGAGACATACTTCAGACCAAAAAAACAGATCAGTTAAGATTAAATGGGGAGTTCCCTTGTGGTCTAGAGGGAGTTAGAGTTCTGGGCTTTCACTTCTGGGGTCCAGATTCAGTCCCTGATCAGCATGCCCCTCCCAAAAAAAGAAAATGCAAAAGTCTAATAAATGAGTCAAAATGATGCTTAAATAAAAGAGTAAATGGGTGGAATCTACTATACAGAACAGACTCACAGACATATAGAAGACAGACTTATGATTGCCAAGGGGTAAAGGGAGTTGTTGAGGGAAGGATTGAGAGTCTGAGATTAGCTGATGCAAATTAGGATATATAGGATGACAAGGACTTACTCTGTAGCACACAGAGCTACAATCAATATTCTGTGATAAACTATAATGGAGAAATATGAAAAAGTATATATACATATATATAATTGAATCATTCTGCTATATAGCAGAAATTTATGCAACAATGTGAATCAGCTATACCTCAGTGAATTATTTTTTTAAAAAGTCAATGGATAGAAAAGATGTCCATGTAAACAGCAATCATAAGCTAAGTGACTATGCTAATATTAGATAAAACAGACTTTAAAAACAAACAAAAATTTTACTAAAGATAAAGAAGAGCATTTTATAATAATAAGTCAATCCATTGGAAATATACAACAGTTACAAACTTGTATGCACCTAATAACAGTGTTCTAAAATACAGGAACAAAAACTGGCAGAACGAAAAGTGAAAATAAACAATTCCCATCAGTGGTAGTTGGAGATGTCAGTACCCCACTTCAATAATTGGTAGAACAGCTGGAGAGAAGATCAATAAAGAAACAGAAAACTTGAACAATAGCATAAACTAACTAGACCTAATAGACTTTTATGGAAAACTAATAACAACAGGATATACATTCTTCTTACATGTGTATGGAAGCTTCTCTAGGATAGACTATATTCTACACCATAATACAGTCTCAGTACAGATATTATACAAAGTATTTCTATGACTACAAAAGAATGAAATTTGAAATAAATAATAGAAAGTTGGGAAGTTCAAAACTATGTGGAAATTAAACAAAGCAATTTAAATAATCTGTTAAAAACAGAAATCCCAAGAGAAATTAGAAAATATTTTGAGATGAATGAAAATGAATGAAAACATAGTATACCAAAATGTGATGTAACAAGAATAGTGTTTACAGGGAAATATTGATTAAGACTATATTACATAGAGAGACTGCATTAAAACAAATCTAATATTCTATCTTAAGACACTGAAAAAAAAATGAGCAAACTAAACTCAAACAAGCAGAAGGAAAGTAATATAAAGATTAGAGTGAAAACTGTTGAAATAAAGAATAGAAAAACAGTTGAAAAAAATCAACAGAATCAAAAGTTGGTTTGAAAAGATTAGCTAGACTGACAAAGAAAAAGGAAAAAAAAACAAAAAAGAAGATCCAGATAACTAAAATTATGAATGAAAAAGTTAATATTAATTCCAGCTTCGCTGAAGTGAAAAGCATTAGACAATACTATGAACAAGTGTATGCCAGCAAATTAGATAACTTAAATAAAAGGGGAAATTTCTTAGAAATGCACAAACTACCCAGACTGATTCAAGAAGATATATGCAAGCTGAATAAATCATTTGTCCATTAAGAAATTAATACATTTTGATTTCAGAGGAGTTTTAGGTTTACAGAAACCTTGAGCAGAAAGTACAGAGTTTCTATATTCCCCCAATACAGTTTTCCTATTATTAACATTTTGCATTCATATGCTGCATGTTACAATTGATTAATCAATAGTGACACATTATTATAAAGTATTATTGTGATATATCCACAATTACAGTATCATTCACAGTGGTTTCACTGTGCAGATTTTATATGAACATAAATTTTCACCTCATTTGGGTAAATACCTAGGTATGCAATTGCTGGATGGTAAGGTAAGAGTATGTTTTAAATTTGTTAAACTGCCAAATTGTCTTCCAAAGTGGTTCTACCATTTTGCATTCATCCCTATGATGAATGGGAGTTGCTTCATATCCTTGCTAATGTTTGACGTCAGTACTTTGGATTTTAGCTATTCTAATAGTTGTGAGTTTGTGAAGTGTAGAAGGAAATGGTAACCCACTCCACTATTCTTGCCTGGAGAATCCCATGACAGAGGAATCTGGTGGGCTACAGTCCATGGGCTTCCCTGGTGGCTCAGATGGTAAAGCATCTGCCTGCAATGTGGGAGACCTGGGTTCAATCCCTGGGTTGGAAAGATCCCCTGGAGAAGGAAATGGCAACCCACTCCAGTACTCTTGCCTGGAGAATTCCATGGATGGAGGAGCCTGGTAGGCTATAGTTCGTGGGGTAGCAAAGAGTCAGACACCACTGAGGGAATTCACAGTGGTGAATTCAATTACAGTTCATGGGGTTGCAAAGAGTTGGACATCACTGAGTGACTAACACACAATAGTTGTGAAGTAGTATCTCATTGGTTTAATTTACAGTTTCCTAGTAACGTGATATAGAAATATGACTCTACTTGTATTTCTTATTCTTTATGTTGATAAGGACCTGCAGGATATATTGACTAGAAAGGATGACTGCAAAGATCCTTTTCTCATCCTGATCTCGAAACAAAAACTTTCAACATTTCACCATTTAGTATGAATCTATGATAGGTTTTCTTTAGATTTTTTTTTTAATCAAATCTAAGGAAATACTCTCCTTTTCCTGTTTGCTAAGATATTTTCTTATGTGTGGATGCTGACTTTATCAAACACATTTTCTGCACTTAGCACAGAACCTGCTTGGGCCTCATGCGTGCATGTGTGCTGAGTTGCTTCAGTCGTATTCGACCATGTCTGACCCCATGGACTATAGCCCACCAGGCTCCTCTGTTCATGGGATTCTCCAGGCAAGAAAACTGAAGTGGGTTACCATTCCCTTCTCCAGAGGATCTTCCCAACCCAGGGTTCGAACTCATGTCTCTTACATCACCTGCATTGGCAGGTGGGTCCTTTACCACTAGTGCCACCTGGGAAGCTTGGGCCTTGTAGGATGTTTTAAATTCATTGCTTGATATCTTGTTGATTTGGAAACCTTATCAACTGTTATCTTCAAGTGTAAATTTCTGCTCCATTCTCCTTCTAAAAGTCTGCTTACATGTATGTTAGATCTTTTTACTAAATCCTTTTTGACTCCTACTCTTTATTACATATTTTCCATTCTTTGGTCTCTATGGGCCTTATTTTGGGTATTTTCATCTAACCTGTCTTCCAACTGTTTTATTATGTCTTTGTTTCTAATACACTATTATTAAAACCCAACCCTTAAGTTCTTAGTTTTTTAGTTTTAGGATTTCTTTCTACCCTCATGCCCCAAATCAGCATGGTATTTTAAAAGTCCATGGCTAGTATCTATAACTCCTATGGTTTGTTTCTTTCTCCTTCCCACCCTCACCAGCTACCCCTGCCGTAATGTTCTATTGTTTCCTCATATGCCTGATTACTTTGTTGTTATTCAGTCACTAAGTCATGTCTGACTCCTTGTGATGCCATGGGCTGCAGTACACCAGGCTTCCCTGTCCTTCACCATCTCCCAGAGTTTGCTCAAACTCATGTCCATTGAGTAGGTGATGCTGTCCAACTATCTCAGCCTCTGTTGCCCCTTTTCCTCCTGCTTTCAGTCTTTCCCAGCATCAGAGTCTTTTCCAGTGAATCAGCTCTTCACATCAGGTGGCCAAAGTATTGGAGTTTTAGCTTCAGCATCAGTCCTTCTAATGAATATCAGGATTGATTTCCTTTAGGATTGACTGGTTTAATTGCAGGGTGACAATATACAGCCTTGAAGTACTCCTTTCCCAACTTTAAAGCAGTCCATTGTTTCACGTCTGGTTCTAACTGTTGCTTCTTGACCTGCACACAAGTTTCTCAGAAAGCAGATAAGGTGGTCTGGTATTCTCATCTCTAAGAATTTTCCACAGTTTGTTGTGATCCACAGAATCAAAGGCTTTAGCATAGTCAGTGAAGCATAAGTAGATATTTTTCTGGAATTCTCTTGCTTTTTCTGTGATCCAGAGGATGTTGGCAATTTGATCTCTGGTTCCTCTGCCTTTTCTAAATCCAGCTTGATTGAAATGATTCAAAGCTGAGATGGAGTTCCTATAAGAAACTTTTAGTTTAGTTTACCCCTACTCTAGAGTAGAGTCATTTGGAGTCTTAACCCAATGTAAAGAGGATTGCTCTTGGTCCTCCTGCTTTAGGAAGCCCTGATACTACTCTGTCCCTCAGTAACCTCATGAGGACCTACTGCCTATCAGAGGGGCTGGCCCTGAAGTAGTTTTTAAATGAACAAGTGAGTTTACTACCTGGTGGGCATTGTTGCTACTTGCTGAAATACAGACTAACCTTTGGAGACTTGCCTGTTGGTCTAGTGGTTAGGACTGCACTCCCAATGCCAGGGGCACAGATTCAGTCCCTGGTCAGGGAACTAGGATCATGACACATGGCATGGCAAAAAAGAAAGATGCAGATGAACCTTCGTCTAATTTGAAACAAATTATAGAATCACAATTTATAAATTTAAAGTTTCTAAGTACTCCATATTTAGGGTTTCCAGGGTGGCTCAGCGGTAAAGAATCCGCCTGCAGTGTAGGAGTCACAGGAGATTACAGGTTCAGTCACTGAGTCTGGAAGATCCCCTGGAGGAGGGCATGGCAACCCACTCCATATTCTTGCCTGGAGAATCCCATGGACAGAAGAACCCGGGGGGCTACAGTCTAAGGGGTTGCAAAGAGTTGGACACGACTGAAGCAGCTTAGCATGCATGTACACACTCCATATTTAAGTGGTATAATACCTGACTCTTCAAAATACTTGTTATAAGGAATCTACAGATGACTTCTCTTTTTAAAATTTATGCCATTCATCTTCTTCTATTGATCCCTTCTACTATTAAAATACAATTCATTCTTAAATGTGTTCATTTGTTGTTTTTTTACTTCATTTATTTAGCAATTTTTTTTTTTTTAACATCTGTAATTTGAAAGGGATGTTCCTAGGTGTTGGAGTTATAAATGTAATATAGTTCCTGCTCTTAAGGAGTTTAGGGAATGAATGGTGTTGTGAGATAATGACTGTAGGGAAGATGTCCTTGGATGCTGGGTTGGGCACATCCAGGAAATGCTAGTCTTAAAGGACAAATAAGAGTTGGAGAGATAACCAAGTAGGATTTGGGGAATTGTTTTCCAGTAAGTTAACGATATCTTTACAAGCATGGCAGTTTCTCTGTTAGCTAGTTTAAGGAGGTTTTGATTCTTTTTTTGCTTTGGCAGATTTCTTCTGTGATGTGCCAAGTAAGTAATGTTTTAGACTTTCAGAGATCGTGAGGATTCCCTCACAACTAGTCCACCACTGTAGTGTGAAACTAGCCATAAATAATATATAAAGAAATGAGTGTGGCTGTGTTCTGTGTTTGGTAAAACTTTAAGGAAATGAAAAGTTGAATTTCATGTTTTATGTGTCACAAAGTATTCTTTTTGTTTTTTTTTAACTATTATAAAATTATAAAAGCATTCTTAACTTGTGATACAGAAACAGGCAACTGGTTTGATTTGACATGTGAGCTTTATTGTGCTATATCCCATTTTAGACTTTCTATATTTAGACATATTTGTATATGTAAACTAAAAAATAGATACACTTTTTCTTCATCACAAAAGTAAGCATACTTGGTGTAAAACTAAAGCCTTTCGTACTCTATAGAAATTGCTTAGAATTGTTGAGGGTCAATTCTAGAAATTATTTCTCTCTATATTAATTTTATAAAAAATGGGATGATACTGTGTTTAGTGATTGGCACTTGATCATGCACTTATAATTTATCTTTTTGAACTGTCAAGTGAGTGTATGCTCCTCGGTTCTGTCTCATCACAACAAAGATTTGGAGCAATGGACATTAAAGCCCTCGGCGCATCACAGCTCTCGGGTCTTGGACAAACTGTGTTATAGCTCTTAGACAAATCAGTTACAGCTCTATTTTATTTAGAAGATAGCAGGAGAATCCATGCTCGAAGTGTGAGGGCATGCCAACCCAAAGACACTAAGAGAAGAGAGTGGGGGAGCGTGCCAGCACTCGGGAGAGAGAGGGGGAGAGAAAGAGAGAGAGAAAGAGCACACTTTGTCTCTCAATGAATTTTTGCAATGAGACATCAGAGCCTGAGCTTCATTAGGTCCTGAAGCCAGGCATCCTGGGTTTTGGCCGGGCTCGAGTCCCGGGAGAGAGCTGAAGGACAGGAGAAAAAAGCAGTGGGAAAAACGTGCCAAGGAATCCCCTTCATAGCCTGCTGGAAAATCTGCTAAATTTCTGACCTATGCTCACAGTTTTCATTGGCCTGATCCTTGGCACAGAGAAGAATAAGGACAGAAGAACCCCTACCGGCTTGGGTCACAGCTATTGGGGCTCAGCAGATAGTGCCTTTGGGACATACCGAAGAATAGCCTCTCCAGAGTCCCTCAATTGCACCCACTGCCGCCCGTCTTTTCGGGGGGGGGGTTTCAAGGAAACAAGAAATGAGAGATTGTAAAGGAATTAAGATTTCGTTAGGCATATGTCCCTCCAGCCATAGGAGCAAGGACCTCCTACCTTAACCGGAAGTCTTCTGGAATCTGAAGCTGAGCTTTCTGCTGAGTTCGTTTTTTGTTCTCCTGGTCTCCAGCACGATGGGCCTCTTGTCACTTCCCTTGCGCTGGTTTTCTTTGCATTCCGCTTCTACCTCAGGAGCTTTGGCAGAGGTGGGCTCCTGCTGTGCTTGGCCTCCTGCTTGAGGGGCCCCCGCCGAGGTTGTCTCAGTCAGGTTAAATCTGAGCCATGGCACCATAGGTGTCAGGCAAGTGTATGCTCCTCAGTGGGAGTGTATGCTCCTCGGTTCTGTCTCATCACAACAAAGATTTGGAGTGACGGACATTAAAGCCCTTAGCACGTCACAGCTCTCGGGTCTTGGACAAACGTGTTACAGCTTTTAGACAAAGCAGTATTACAGCTCTATTTTATTTAGAAGATAGCAGGAGAATCCATCCTCGAAGCATAAGGGCATGCCAACCCAAAGACGTGAAGAGAAGAGAGTGGGGGAGCACGCCAGTGCGTGGGAAGAGAGAGAGAGGGAGGAGGAGAGAGAGAGAGAGCGCGTGAGAGAGAGCGTGCACGCATGTGGTGGGGGGCAGGGGGAGGGCCCTTTGGTTCCTCTTTTTATATGTTTTTCCCTCCCCCTGGGCCTACCCTATGCAAATTGGGCTACCCAGGAGTGCTCTTTGTTCTACCTGAAGTCCTCACTCGGGTCCTCCGACCTTCCTTTGTTCTATTTTCTCAGGCTTTTAGCCACCGCCATTTTGGACCCCTGTTTCCTATTCTAACTACCTAACAGAACTGATCATGTGCTGTTGTGTTTTCAAGGTGGGAAAGGCAGTGGAAGAAGAAAATTGCTGCTTTGGGACTGTTGATACCTGGTTGTTACATAAGCTCACAAAAGGTAAAGGTGATTTGATAGATCTGCTCAAGTAACTGGAATTTGACCGATAGAAATCATTCATCTTAAAGAAGTGAAAGTTTTAAACTTTTTCCCCCATATCCCAGACATCCTGTTTTTTTGGGGGACCCTAGTAACTTCCTGTTACAGTAAAGCTGGATTAATTTCAGATATTTTCTAAGAAAAGAGTGATTTTTAAATTGTGATGACACCTCAAACATAAGACTGAGAACCCTGGTAAGACTTGAGTTCAATACCGAATCTGCTTCTTTGCAACTATACCTAGAGTATATATAGCTGTAGGTAATCACATTGCTTCTCTGAGCCCCTTTCCTCATCTTTAAACTAGAAATCATGATCTGACAATGTGCCTAAAGGCATTAAACAGGAAATTACTTTGGAGACTTTGCTCTGGAAATGCGCATTTGAAATGAATTTGAGAGCAGGCAAGACTGAGACTGCTAAGGATATGGGTGTAGATTCACATTACCTGATAATAAATAGATCATTTCCAATGTAAATTTAGGTTCTGAATTTGCCACGGATTTTTCAAATGCCAGCACAACCGGGCTTTTTGATCCATATGAGGTGAAATTTTTTCCCCTTCTTTTTGAATCACCAGTTTTTGTGTAATTTAGCTAGAATTCTGATGACATATTTTTATGCCCAGATGAGTTGGAGCAAGATCATTACCTCCCTGCTTTCAATCCCGCTCTCTCTCCTGCCTCCTGTGAAGGATACGAGGTAATAATGAAAATCAGATATAGAAACCAGCAAAATTGTCCCTGAATTCACCTTGCCTTTGTGGGGAAAAGCATTTTATCATTATTACACCTCCAAGGTGCTTGTACGTTCATTATGTAACTTTTGGGCTATGCTAAATTTTAGAATTAATATTTCTAGAGCTGTAACTTACTTTTTAATCTATTTTCTTGAAGCCACAATTTTGGATCAGTGGATGAAGAGATATTTGGTGTGCCTATACCAATAGTGGCCTTGGTAAGTAGAAAACTTGAGGTTTTTCCTTGTATAGTATAAACTAAATGAATATCTGTGAATAGTTGGGTTTAGTTTAAGAAACACAAACATCCTTGCATAATAGAGTGTCTTTTTTCTTTTTAAGTTAAAGGGCCCTGAATATAATCAGAAGGATTCTGTTTTCTGCAAAGGGGACTGATGGGCTAGTGTTCTATCATGGAAATTCTTTATAACTTTTCCTGACTTCTATATATGTTGTTTTTCAGAAAAGTGCTATGTTAAATTTTTAGAAAATGTATTCTGAGTAATATGTGGTTTATATTTGATATTCTGAGATAGAAAGCAGTGATAAGGCCAATGCTTAATTTATACTCAATATAATGAGAAACTGTGAGAGGGAAATTAAAATAAAGAAGACAAATATTTGCATTTTATTTTTTATTATTTTTTAAAGTGTAGTTACATTTTATAAAACCCTTCATCTACTGAGACAGTAAAGAATCTGTGGATGAGTGAAAAATTAGCTGTTTCTGGTTTTTGAAGTTCTTTGTTTCTTATTAGCAATTAATTAATTAATTTGGCTGTGCCAGATCTTAGTTGATACATTCGGGATCTTTAGTTGTGGCATGTGAACTCTTAGTTGTAACATGTGGGATCTAGTTTCCTGATTAGGGATCAAACCCAGGCCCACTGCATTGCGAGCATAGTCTTAGCCACTGGACCATCAGTAAACTCCCTGAGGTTTCTTTCTTAACTATAGAGACGCAGGCCTTGCTTTTAATTTCCTGTAACAGTTTAAGAAGGAGGTATAGAACATCTGACCCTAGATAGACAATCACTCCAGTAGGTGGAGGAGTCAAGTGAGGGGAGGGGAATTTAATTCTCAAATTACAAGTTCCTTGGAGAAGATCAGTCTTATTCAACTCGGAGTAGGCTCAGGTTTAGATTAAGTTATGGCTAGAAAACTTATTGATTAGTGAGAAAGCATTCTTCAGGTGAGTTTTGGTTCTTAAAATATTGCTGTGTATATATATTAAATATATCTACATGTAGTTACATTAGCAAAATGTTATAGGGAGTTTCCTGGTGGCCTGGTAGTTAGGATTTGACACTTTCACTGTCATGGCTGGAATTCAATTCCTGATTAGGGGACTGAGATCCCACAAACCATGTGTTGTGACCAAAAAAAAAAGTTATAATTTTTCTTTTTAACAAAAATGTATGGTTGGGAAATATATGGTTTTAACCTACATCTACTTATTCACCTATGCTACTTCTTAAAAAGGAAATTTGTGTGGTCTGTTATTTTGACTAATGAATGAAGGTGCTTGCAAGTTGCAAATGACCAACCTTAGCTGTTTTTTCTGCACATATTTTATTCTGACTTTTGTTATTAAGATTATTCTTATGATTCTTCAAAGTGGTCAAGTAGATTGCCCACTAAAAATTCCCAAGACATGTTAGTTTTGCACATAATGTTATAGTCCTAGGGAGACTCCTGTTATATAGTTGTTGCTATGTTCTCACCAGGGAGTTTGTTTAAAGGAAAAAGAAAAAAAGGAAAGAAAATATTGAACCATGAGACTGTAGTGAGTAAGACAGTAGGATACAGTGAAATGGAACACTGCTAAAGGCAAAAAGATCTTATATTTGTTTGTCTTTGGCAGGTCGCTGACCAGCAATCTGCCATGTTTGGAGAATGCTGCTTTCAGACAGGAGATGTGAAGTTAACTATGGGAACTGGGACGTTTTTGGATATTAATACTGGAAATAAGCCTCAACAGAGTGTTGGAGGTAAGGAGTTAGAATTTATCTTATTTGTTAATGAAATATCACTTTTTTTCCACTCACTTAACTTTTGTGATACTACTTTCCTATTTTATATTAAGGATATTCTATGATATTTTTCATTGTTCTTCGAGATAGTCAATACCAAATTTTCTTTTTTTCTTTTAATTAAAAGCACTAAAAAATAACGAGGATTTTATGGAAAAATTCAGAAAGATTAGGATATTTTGGTCAGTTTTTCAAAGATTTACCTTTAACACTCATTATATTTATTTAAATCATCTTTCTAGGTCTCTAAAATTTCTTTCATGTGTTGGGATTTATTCTTTTCGTGAATATTTTTGGGATCGGTACTTCTCAACTAGTGATGCATGTGTATTCAGGGTTTCATTCTAATTTGTTTTTTGGCTCACTGTGTGGCATGTGGGATCTTATTAATAGTTCCCTGACCAGGGATGGAACCCCTAGCCCCTGTGGTGAAAGCATGAAGTCTTAACCACTGAACTACCAGGGAGTGTGTTAGTCACTCAGTCATGTCCTACTCTTTGTGACTATATGGACTCTAGCCCGCTAGGCTCTTCTGTCCATGGAATTCTTTAGGCAAGAATACAGGAGTGGAAACTCCTGTATATTTAGGATTTTAATAATAACTGCTAAGAATTTGTTCTCCCTAATCGAAGAAATCCTGGAATGCAAAATCCAAGAAATATAGATTGTGTAACTACACTCGGGAGCACTTGGGGCTTTTAGTCTGAGCCCTGGTTCTCTAACATGGTTACTTAGAGGTGAATTTTAAAATCTTTTTCCTGTCTTTCATCCTCCCTACTGTTCTTCATTTTCCCTTAATTGGGAAAATGAAAGCTAGAAAAATGATCTTTATAAAAATTAAGTGAAATAAAAAAGGAAAATGATCATTGTTTCTATTTAGAAACTGCAGATAAATGCAATAACATGGTTAGTTCTCTAACAAACAAATCTGGTAATAACCATTACTTTCTCAATTAAAATATTGTTTCTGTGTTTCTAGAGACATAGATATGCTTGTAGCTAATAAAAGCTAATATTTATTGTTCATATTCTATGCCAGGTACTAATTCTTTTTCTGTATTAACTCAGTTTATTCTCACAGGAGCTCTCTGAGGTAGGCCATTTTATAGTCAAGGAAACTGAAGCTAAGAAGTTAGAAACTTGTAAAACCCACATCTAGAAAATGAGACAGGGCTGGGATTTGAACTCAGGCAGTCTGTCTCCACAGGCATGTTGCTAGTTTTTGAGATAATCAGATTGCTCCACTGCAGACACCTCTGTAATGAATTCACTCTTTATTATGTGACATATATTGTTTATTTGTTTTTAAGGCTTTTATCCATTAATTGGGTGGAAGATTGGACAAGAAGTGGTGTGCTTAGCTGAAGGCAATGCGGGAGACACAGGCACTGCCATAGAGTGGGCTCAACAGTTAGGTAAGTTGTCTTCTAAATGGCTTTCATAGATAGGCCAGTCCTAACTCAAGACAACCATATGATCTAATCAGCAGGGAATGAATGGATTGTTTGAATGAAACTCAAAATAAAATTACACATGCTAGAAGAAAATATGGACCTCCCTGATGGCTCAAATGGTAAAGAATGTGCCTGCAATGCAGGAGACCTGGGTTTGATCCCTGGGTTGGGAAGATCCCCTGGAGAAGGAAATGGCTACCCACTGTGATATTCTTGCCTGGAGAATTCCATGGATAGAGCCACTATTTTGTGATGCATTTGTTATCTGTCATCTTTGTTCTTCACTGTCTAGTTAGTCCATGACTGTGTCTAATCAAAATTCTGAGTCTGCAAAGTTGGATTTCAGTGATCTCTAGAAACCTCCTCTCCCTTCCAGTTGTGACCTGTCCTGGCTTTCCCTGGAGAGCCCTCCTTTTATTCTCCTTTCTATCCACTTAAAATATGCTCCTGTTTTTCCCTGGCTGCTCAGAAGTCTTTGATTTCTTTGTTTAGAATAGTTTAAGTTGCCTTTATAATATTCTCAGTGTCATGAATAGTGTCATGACCTACTATGGAGGAGCTGTGCAGTGTCATGGATAAGAATATGGCCCTGGTTCCATCAGCCTCTTGTTTTTTTGTTTGTTTTAATTTTTACTTTATATTGGAGTATACAGGTGATTCAGTGGTAAAGAACCCCCCTGCCAATGCAGGAGATGTAGGTTCGATCCCTGGGTTGGAAAAATCCCCTGGAGAAGATTGAAATGGCAGCCTATTCCAGTATTCTTACCTGGATAATTCCATGGACAGAGGAGCCTGGTGGGATTGAAGTATAGTTGATTTACATTGTTGTGCCAATCTCTGGGCTAGTCACAGCAAAGTGACTTATTTTTACACATAAGTACATTCTTTCTTTTAACATTCTTTTCCATTATGATTTATCTCAGGAGATTGGATATAGTTCCCTGTGCTATACAGTAGGACTTTGTTGTTTCTCCATTCTAAATATCATGGTTTACATCTACCAACTCCAAATTCCCAGCCCTCTCTCTCTTTTCCCCTGCTCCCTCTTGGCAACCACAAGTCTGATCTTTATATCCACACCACAATCTAAATTTAGAACGTCTTTGTTCTCCCTGAAAGAAACCCCCATACCCATTGGTGGTGATTCCCCATTTCACACCCCGCCCCCCAGCCCTAAGCTACTGTTAATCTACTTTCTGTCTCAATAGATTTGTGTATTCTGGAAATTTCATATGGATGGAATCAAACAATATGTGGTCTGTTATAACTGGCTTCTTTTACTCACCCATATTTTAGCATGTATTACTTCATTTCTTTTTATTGCTGATTAATTTTCCATTATATGCATGTGCCACAGTTTATCCACTCATCAGTTGATGGGCATCTGGGTTGTTTCTACTTTTTGGCTATTGTGAACCATGAACAGCCTGTATATTACATTTTATTATATTAAATTTTATATTAAAAATTATATTAGATTTTGAGAGGGTCTGGCTTTTTACTTTGTTGATTTGAACTAAGCTGATTTTGTTTAAAGACAAAAATAGTTCTGTTGGCAGAAAACAAACAATCTGGAGGAAAATACCAATCTCTGCTTCTTCCTTTCTTTCTTTCTCTTTCTCTATAAACCTGAACCTGTGTTATAAGCTTAAGATATTTGCTACCAAAAAACAAATGTTTACTTGAAAAGTTTTTATCACTTAAAATCTCTTCTTTAAATGTACTACTTTCAAATTTTAAGTGTTTTTAAGTCAACTCAGACTTATCAGAAATAGAAAATATGGGAAGTTCTCTGGAGGTCCAGTAGGTAAGCCTCTGCACTTGCACTGCCAAGGGTGAGGGTTCAATTCCTGGTTAGAGAACTAAGATCCCACGAGCTGCACAGTGCGACCAAAAAAAAAAACAAGCAAAAATAAATAGAAAGTATAGGTTACATATCAATATTTTTTCTTTCTTAGTTGTTCCTTTTATTAATTTTGCTCCTTCCTAAAAGATGCAATGGAAAAGCAGAATAACTTCACATTCCTCATTTTAAAAAAATCATTCCCTAGTTTCTTATGACAGCATGTACACGTTGCCAGTGGAAATCATTTCTGCTGCTTTGCTGGCTTGAGGCTCAGGCACTGTGACTCTCAAATGATGAACACTGTTTTCTGGGAGATGGAGCAAAATGGCCCTGACCTAGAAAAGTGATGTGTTTCCAGTGGAGGCATAAGGAGCCCCCCAAAGGCCCGTCCCATCTCTGGCAGGAAATAAGAAACCTTTGGTCTGATTGAAGAGAGAGAGAATTCGGAGTTGAATTATTTACTTTAAAAGTTTTATTATTGACAGAGCTACTCAGTGGTATTTATTAAATTACTGGTATATACCTGTCTGAAATTCATGCAAAAAGTTGACCTTTATTTTAATGTATCTCTTTCTATTCTGAGAATTCACTGTAACATCAAAAAAATAACTGAATTATGTTCAGGAGAAATGCAGTGTATCAGAGCATAAATAACCTGGTCATTTCCTTGGAGATGTGTATTCTGAGCCTTTATGTCTCTGTGTGATGTTCTGGATTTGTTCCACTCTGAATGGTGGCTTCCTTCTACCCCTTTTCTGGGTTAACACTCAGGCTTAGGTGTAAAAGCTCTTCTAAGCCAGTTCCATCTTCATTTTTTAGATTTGTTTTCTTAATCTTTTTACACAGGCTAATTCTCACTTTTCCCCTTACTCCTTTTGTTAACTGCCCCATTTGAGTCTGTGGGATCATCTCTTTTTCCTTCTCTTCTGGTCCATCTCTGCTCCCCATCACTCTTTGTTCTATTTTGGTATATCAATCTTAGAAATATGTTTATGTCTTCCTGCTTTTATTCACTTAACAAGTAATTGAGTGCTAAGTACAAGCCCAGAACTCCATGCTAGGAGACACCTAGGAGTAAGACAGATACTTCTTGCCTTCATGAAGGTCATAGTCTAGGAGAGTCTAGGAAGGTGTAGTCTAGGAAAGATGTATATTAAATGAATAATTTTGGGAAAAAACAACTAAAAAAATAGTGTTAGATACCAGGAAGGAGAAGTATACCTTCCGGGCGGGTGACATTCAGCCAGCCAGTCGGGGCAACGGGCTCTCCGTCCTAGTACCATGGCCCAGTTTGTCCGTAACTTCGAGGAGAAGGCCCCGGCGCTGGTCAACGCTGCTGTGACTTACTCGAAGCCTCGACTGGCCATGTTTTGGTACTATGCCAAGGTGGAACTGGTTCCTCCAACCCCTGCTGAGATCCCTACAGCAATTCAGAGCTTGAAAACAATTATCAACAGTGCTAAAACCCGTAGCTTCAAACAGCTCATTGTTAAGGAAGCTCTCCTGAATGGTTTGGTGGTCACTGAGGTGTGGATGTGGTTTTATGTTGGCGAGATCGTAGGCAAGCGGTTTGAAGACCAATTTTTAACATGTGATTATATTTGCTTTATTATTCAAGTGTTCTTGGACCATGTGTGAGCAGACTGCTATTTGAATAAAATAAGACAATGTGTCAGAAAAGAAAAAAATACCAGGAAGGAGAAGTATAAATAGAATCAATGATCCTTTTCTAAACGGAGGGCTTTGCCTGGTGTGGGGACTCAGAAGGCTTCTTTATTTTCTTTTTTTTTTGCACTGTGCAGCTTTATTAACCATTCAAGTACAGTAGTGTCTGTAAGATTGGGACAGAATTGGGATTTAAAAGTGAACAGATATTCAGCATCTAACAATTTGAAAGAAGCCACTACATACTCTTTTCACAGACATGTTTTCATGGAGCCAATACAGTACTAGCCATTAACCCAGCACACCAGGTGTACTGAGGTAGAAAAGATGCAACAAGAAAAATAGCTACATTAGAAAAACTTCAACACTTTAGAAAAAGAGTAAAACACTTTTTGTTTCTCCCCTTTAGCCCCTAGAACAACATCATACCATCTGGATCTACCTATACAGTCCTACATCAGCTTCTAGAATATTTGTCAGGAGGGCAAAAGTAAAAAGACACCGGCCAGTACAGTCTTTGGATATTTAGGAAGGGGAGGGGGAGCAAGTCAGTTCTCAGATCATTTAGTCAGCTTCAGTCTCGTCAGCAGGGTCTTTGGATTCTTTGTTCTTCCGCACTTCTTCAATGTGCTTGTCCTTCTCTCGCAAACGCTCCAGTTTGGCAGCCATTTGTGCCTCCTGGTTCTCTTTGTTGGCTTCCATCTTGTAGGTCAGCTTCTCTTCTGCCATTTTACTGAAGTCGTCGTTCTTCTCTATCGCTTTCTGAAGCACTTCTTTCTCGTGCTCCCGTTTCTCGGCAAGCTGCTTCAAGACCTCAGCTTCATGGGACTTGCATCTTTCTTCTGCAGCTTCTAATTTCTTCTGAATTTCCTCCAGGGAAAGATCCTTCTTCTTAGGAGGGAAAAAGGGAAATTCTGGGACAGATTCTTTTGATCGAGGGCTGAGAATCAGCTCAAAAGCCTGGCCTGAGGCACGCTTCTCCAGTTCCTTCACCTGGATATCAGAAGAAGCCATGGTGAAGAGAAGACAAGAGACTGGCAGTGTACTCTACACGATTCACTGGCAAGGAAAACCCCCCTCTTTGTCTGTGTCTGCCATGTGGAAAACAAAACGCCCAAACTAGTATTAACCAATAAAGTCGCACTCCTATTGTTCCTGCGGTTTAAGGTCCTCATTCAACAGCGGGTTAACATGAATTATCAACAAATTTCATGAAGCTTTAGGTCTTAGGTTACACCTATTTGCTGCCTTGTGCAGAATTTTTCCACGAAAAAAAACCTCTACATCCCTTGATCTTTTCAAAGGTCATGATTCCTGCAGACCCAAGTCTAGTGTCAAACACGTAGGAATACAAGTTCTCAACAGCGGGAACTTAAAATCAGAGGCAGGGAAAGCCCGTCGGATGAGCATGAGACTCCCAGCCCAGAAGGCTTCTTTAAAGAAGTGATATTTCAGCTGAGCCCTGAAGGAGGAACAAGAGTGATTGGACAGATGAGGGAGGCAGCTGGTCAAGGAGCAGCCCAAGCAGAGAAGACCAGTGAAGAAGGCCCTGAGGAGAGAGGAGCATGGGCCA